CGTCATGGCCGCCTGCGCGCTCGCCTCGGCTCGGGTGCGTGACGGTGCCCTCGTCTCTCTCGGCAGTCACACTCAGGAACTCCTCACCATGCCGCCTGAGACGTTCCTCTCCGCAGCCCAGGACACCCTACCAGGCGATTTGCTCCATTCGCAGGACTTTGACTTTCTTCGCGCGTGTGCCTTGCTGGCAATCGCAAGCATTCAGGACGGCAAGATCGATGCCATGCGCATGTACATCGGTCACTATTTCACCATGACGGCGACGTGGCAGTGGCATGACGAGGCAACCTGGCCCCCTGGCTTGTCACCTGTGGAACTTGAGGAACGTCGACGCTTGGTATGAAATTGACAAAGGCTTTCTCCTGCATGTGTAGTATGATCTACCGCTAATCATGTGCAGTACTGGTCCACCTACACTCTGGACATCTTCACTTCTATCGTGTGGGACGGCTGCATCCACTTTCAAGAGGCGCATGCCCGAGTTGCTTACCCCAGCGGCGACCAGCCTGAACCAGGTGTGCCGCGTCAGAGTCAGCCGTGGATACTCGGTTGGAACTTCACAACAGATCTCTACCGTATCCTTGAGCATGCCATCTGCAAGCTACGCACTCGGTCATCACGCTTCAATCTCTTTGCTGCCGGGCGGGCCCCTGATACAGCCGAGACAATCAAGCAGATCAACGACCAGATCAATGTCATGTACACTCACCTGCCAGCCAGCTTTAAGGACCTTCGCGCGGCTACAGGTCACTTGGAACATGACATCTTTGGTTTCCAGGCCGCAAACATCCAGGCCACGCTCGCTCTGCTTCGTATGGCTCTTCTCTCCCTAGAGAAGAACGTTGACCTCGACCAGAAGTGCTCCATCGCCAGCGATGTCTTGGGTATCTTTCACCAGGTGCCAAAAGCCTTCCAGAGAGCCATTAGCACGCCACTCATCTATCACATTGGAGGCATCGGCAACATCTTGGGATCAGTCATGGAGAGCCCCATGTCTGAGAGCTCGTACCAGCGCGTCCGCGATCTGCTCCTGTCCATGGCTGACCTCCTCGAGAGCCTCGAATCGTTCCATCATCAGCGCGCTGGTGCCGGACGCAGGCTTCGCGAACAAGTGGAACGCATTGACGCGTACATGGTCTCTCGACGCCAGATGGTTGTGAGTCAGCAGGTACCCCATGAGGTGCTGCCTATGGCATCGGCAAGCACCGAGAACCCACCGATTGGTCCCGACGGGATTTCCCCTCAGTTCCAGATCCCCGATGAGCTTTTGCAAAACTGGGATTGGTCGTTCAACATGTACCAGAGCCAGTTCCCGTTCTTTGGAGACCCTGGGTAATACGGGCGAAATTTTTATAGAGCTATATCATTCAGACTCGGCACTAGCCAGCCACGGCGCAGCCGCGCGACGCCCCCCTTCGCAGCGCGCCGCTGTGAATGCCAGCAAGACGGGGCCGACATGAGGATACCTGTAAAACAAGATGCCACCCAAGACGCACCAGCAGATGTCGGACAGGCTTTCGCGGAGAGCTTTCAACGCATTATTGACATGGAAACCTTACTGCAGACTGAAACACAACGCAAAGCGTTGCAGACGTGCAGTTGCATTGCCACGAAGAAATACATGTGGCAACAAAGGCTCAAAGCGGGTGTCCACGCAGGGTCGCGAAGCCACCGTCGCTTTAACTAGGGTATCACACGCTATCGTTCCGGTGGTTCGCAGCCTATCCAATGACTCGTTTTCAGGCGCCTTTTAGGATGGTCGCCCCCGAACTTTTGTCTCACGCCTTACACTTTTCTGTCGTTCTTTGTTCCGCGCTTAGCCCTCTTCCATCAAACCTGCAGCTTCTCGACCGACCCAGGAGGTCCAGGCTTGGATCCACTATCGCTTGCCGACAGCACTTGGTTATCATGATTGCCTCGCTCAGCCAATACATCGCCGTGGGCCATGTAGCTGCGTTCCATTTTCGTGTTGAAGATGCTGTTGGCTGCGAAGAGAGCATCGATTGATTCCAGTGAGCGTCCGGATGTTTCAGGGTAAACTGGGGAGCAGCATGTCTGGTCAGCAAGAAGCGCAGGGCTAGGTGATGGGGACTGAGTTAGAGTCACTTACAGAGGAAGACGACGGGGACCCAGAGCAGGTTAAGACCGGCGAACAAGAAGTATGTCCAGTTCTTCAAGACGCCAAACATGATCGGATTCACCAGCGTGGTCATGCCAACACCGACGGCCCAGCCCGTGATGCCGAATCCGTTCCCTTGGGCGCGCAAATCGGAGGACCAAATTTCCGTGGGGATCAAGAATGCGACGGTGCCCCACGTCGCGGCGTACGAGAGGTTGAAGAGAAAGAGCATGGCTACCGCGACTGGAGCGAACTGGGACGCTCGATCCGGATGAGCCCGTGAGCCCTCATAGAGGGCACCGGCGATGAGATTAACGGCAGAGAGAGCGAGAGCGCCGCCCATGAGGCAGGTCCTTCGGCCCAGGCGATCGACAATCTGGGCGCTGATAATTGTGCCCACGATGCCGACCGTGTTGAGGCCACCAGCCAGTCCGTTTTGCGTCAGCTCGGTGTAGCCAGCCTGCGACAGGAGAATGGGCGAGTAGGCAGTCACGGCCGTGATGCCCGTCCAGGAGGCCATGATCTGGAGGAACAGGCAGAGCCAGGCACGCTGTCCAAGGTTGTATCCTGGCTTAGGTCCGCGGCCGAACAGGATCTTGATGAACTCGATAGGTGAGCTCTTGGTGCTCTCCTCGGCAACAGTCCTGATCTCGAGGAATTCGCGTTCGACCAAGGGGCCGAAATTACCGCGAACGTGCTCGATGACTTCGCGGGCCTCATCGTATCTGCCGACGGAAGCGAGAAACCGGGGCGTGTCGGGCAATATCTTGATGCCCAGGAAGAGCAGCAGCGCTGGAAGACATTGAAAGGCCAATTGGAACCGCCATCGAATGTCCGAGTACCCGCCGTCAATAAAGGCGAGGCCAAAGGAGAGCCAGTAGGCTATTGAGATACCGAGATAATTAGCAATGAAGACGTAACCCAGAAAGCCGCCGCGGTGTTCCGCCGTTGACGTTTCGGACACCATGACGGGGGTGATGCCTGTGAGGGCGCCCGTGCCGATGCCCGTGATGACGCGAGCGACAATTATGAAGTTGCTGGACTGAGCAGCCGCCTGCAGAGCACCGCCGATTATGGCGAAAATGCAACCAATGAAGAGACTGAGAGCCTGTCAGCAGTGGCTTTCTTGCAGAGGAACGGAGTTTTTCACTACAAACATACCCGTTGATACGGCCAATGCGATCGGCAAGCCAACCACCAGCGAAACACCCCGCGATGCATCCCAGGTAGTATACGGAGACAATGCCGCCTTGGTGAAGCGTATCCGTGACAGTACCGTCTGGAAGTCCAATGCCAACCTCCTCGACGTACCGGGGTGAGGCATTGACGCCACCCATGACGCCCTGGTCATAGCCTTCAAAGAAGATGCTGATAACCGAAAAGGTCTGGATAGCGATATTCAGCTGTCTCGGCGACAGCCGCTTCCACCACGTGGTGTAGCCCATGGTTGAGGAGAGCTCGAGCAAAGCTCAAGACGGAAGATTAGAGCAAGATTGAGGAGTGAGGAACAGGTGACAGCCAAGAAGACCAATGGCCAGTCTTGTCGTGAGATAAGAGACCCGGTCGATGAGGAGATGCCTCTAGATCTAGCGCTTTTCACACTCCCAGGTCGTCTGGCAGCGCCCTCATATACATTCCAGGCCGGTATGTCCTCTAATGTGGTGTGCTCGGGCGTCTGTTGGGCCCTGCCGCGCCTTGGCTTACGTTCACCTACCTGGTCAACACCCTGCCTCGCCTGATGTGCGTTGCTGATGCCAGCCCCTGTGCCATCGGATGTTGAGGGATACTGAAACTGAACCCCAACGGCAGTGAGGTGCTTCAATGTGGTGTCGTCATGTACTTAATGTCTGTCGTTCCTCCACCACTCCGCAGTGTTCCCCGCCATGTTTAGTCTCCAGACTGTTTTTCCTCGGACCATAGGCTCCACCGCGTGCCTGGTGCTTGGGACAAATTTCTCCTTTCCTCACTTGTCAAAGGATTCTCTTTTCCCAGCGAGTCAGTAGAAGTTTGTATCCGCTTAGACGCTTAAGCGACGATTGACAGCTGCTGTATTTTTGCAATCGAGTGAACTTTATCCTCTTAAGCTTGTAGCCGCTTTGCCGCATCTTCGACTTCCATTTGCTTGAATTGAGACTCGGCGACGGTGGTGTGGTCATGCACGCGGTTCCGCTTGCATCATCCTTCTCGTCCAAACAACCGCCAGAATCTGCCCCGGATGTAGTGGTGAGACTGTGGCACAGCGGATCTTTCCGCGCTACGGTTATGACAGCTGCGGGGAAACACTTCGGGGGCTGGTTTTGTTTCCGAAGTCTGACAGACATCTGAACTCCGAAGTCCGGGTGGCCAAAGTATATAGGACTGCCCTTCCTGCAAGACAGCCTGTCGGACGATGGTCTCAAGGCACTCCCATCGATTGGCCAATGCATCTTCGACATTTGCACTTCTGCCTCTCATCATGCCTGGAGCGACGAATGGGTATGGACATAGCAATGGCCATGCGAACGGGCATATAGTCGCTGACAGCCACGACAAGGCTGAAGGCCAGCCCTTGGACCTGACTGTTCTGGGAATGAATAGCGGAACCTCCATGGTGAGTCTCAGATCTCTGATCGTCACGTTCCATTTGGTCCAAAGATCAGCTCATTGGTTTTTGTTCCCGAGCGCCCCGAGAGACGCTCTTGGCACCCCACGACAAGCGGAGAACATTGCACCCCTGCTGCTTGCTGCTGGACGGCTAGATCTCGCATCGATTCAGCCCTACACAGTAGGACTGCACTGACACGCTGTATAGGACGGCATCGACTGCGCGCTCTGTCGATTCCGTCAGGAGACGCCCGAGTCACCCGTGCACTTCTCCCTTCTGAAATATGGCGAGACGCCCATGGATCCCAAGATCAAAAAGCGCGTGCTCAACATAATCAAGCACGATCGCACATCCGCCTCGGAACTATCCGAAGTCAACGTCCTGCTCGGCGAGGTGTTTGCCGTGGCGGCCGAGAAGTTTTGCGAGGACAACAACGTCGATATGAAGTCGCTCGACGCCATCGGCTCTCATGGGCAGACCATCTGGCTCGCCAGCATGCCACAGAATGGCGTTCCAAAATCGGCTCTTACCATGGCCGAAGGCACCATTATCGCGGCCCGTACCGGTGTCACTACCGTGACTGACTTTCGCGTTTCTGATCAGTCGGCCGGTCGTCAGGGCGCCCCGCTGATCGCCTTCTTCGATGCGCTGCTTCTGCACCACCCGAGAAAGCTGAGGGCGTGTCAGAACATTGGCGGCATCGCCAACGTGTGCTTCATCCCACCCGAGGGACCTGAGCACGCCTTTGACTTTGATACTGGGCCGGGAAATGCCCTCATTGACGCTGTGGTCAGACATTACACGGCGGGCGCGATGGAGTATGACCGCGACGGTGAGATGGGGAAGCGCGGAACTGTATGCCAGCCTCTCGTCGATGATTTCCTTAAGTCCATACCGTACTTCTCGTGGGATCCGCCCAAGACGACGGGACGGGAGGTCTTCCGTGACACGCTGGCAGATGATTTGATCCGTGACGCCGAGGCACTCGGCCTGTCTCCGGATGATGTTGTCGCGACGGTCACGAGGATCACGTCACAGGCCATTGTTGACCACTGGCGACGGTACCAGCCCGGTGGGCGCCAGGTGGACGAAGTCTTCATGTGCGGCGGTGGCGCGTATAACCCCAACATTACGGACTATATGAAGGAGCAGCTGCCTGGTGTCAAGATGTTCATGCTCGATGACGCGGGCATCCCTGGCGGTGCGAAGGAGGCCGTCACATTTGCCTGGCAGGGCATGGAGGCCATTGTTGGGCGGAGCATCCCTGTGCCTGACCGTGTGGAGACGAGAAGACCATATGTTCTGGGCAAGGTGAACCCTGGTGAGAATTACCGCAAGGTCATGAGCAAGGGCATGGCGTTTGGAGCTGGGCGGGAGGAGCTGTCGTGGGTGACTGCGATGGTCAACCATGTGGACGGCAAGGTATTTGATAATCAGTGGTGATGAATTATGACCCGTGATAGCGATAACTTCATCTACGGCCGTCTTATCTCATTTAGGGTATCGTATCAATTTACATGGCAGTGCTGGGCGAGAACGTTTTTGAAATTAGAGGAAGAGAGCGTTCGACAGCTATCTACTTTTCGAACGACAGCAGGTTTTTAAAATAAAGTGTCGTTCCCTTGATCAAATAAGTTATGGTCGATGGATAGACTAAGTATGGCTCTGACCAATTCCTTGTTACCAGTCTACGGCTTCAAACCAAGGTATTGATGTATGAGCCTACTCCTTCGTAAATCGTCCAAGAATGCGAGAAGAGCCAGTAGCAACTCTTTCAACCTGATATATCATGTGCTGGTAAATAATCAGCGGTACACACACAGTGATGGAGGAATTTCTAAACGCTATTACTCAGTTGCATATTTCCTCGAGTAGTGAAGCGTTTCCAGATGCTGATATCTGCGTAATGAACTTGAGACAAGAGGTTCTACCTCTGGAGACAAGAGGTTCTACCACTGGAGACAAGAGGTAGAACAAGAGGTTCTACCTCTATTATATCCGATGGCCTCCAAGCTTCTACTCACATTAAATCTATGTGATATCATACCTTGGAAGTAATTGACATGATGGAGTATGGACCTCTCAAGTCAACGACGAGGCCACTAAGAGCCAACGCAAATACAGTTGCTCAATCTATGACCTACAAATACCCAAAGTACAACCAAAACTTTCAGTATCGAATGAACTGCCTATGTCTGCCATGAAATATCAATCGCCGGCCCGTATCAAAACGGCTTATAGCATTGTCTCTGTCTGACGGGTCGTCAGGGGCCAAAGTCACCCACAACGAAGAGGATGAAGTCGTTCTGTGGCTTGGCCCGCAGGTCAACAGTGCCCTCTGATGTCGTCATATTTGCGAGTGTCGAGCGCCCACAATCCACTCAAGGGTGCGGGTCTGGAGGAACGCTGTTACGCGGACAAACTTGACGTAAACCAACGTCTCGCCAAGTCTCATCGCAATTCGGCTTGACCTGCCAGCATTATGACGATCCCGAAAAGCCTCGATATCAGGCTGTTGGCCCAAGACGCATGGTCTCTAAACGGAACCAACCGGCGCCATCCTACTTGAACCAGGCATGCGAGTACTTGATTCGCAATAGCACAGCTCAAGCAAGTGTACGACTCATTCTGACCGGCATCACTTAGCCAGGGTTATTGGACCTCCCTGGATGGTGGCACAATCGGTTAAAACCTTAACATTTGTCGAGGAATCTATGACAAAGAAGGCGCTGCACTTCCGACGTTGCCACGGATATGCTCAGCGACCGCACTCATCGGCAGCCAGGAACCCCAAGCGAACGATCTCGGTTGTGATGCTTGGGATTATAACTAATTACGTGACTAAATGGTGCACACCATAGGCGAGCCGAGGTGCTCGCCTTGCTACTGGTACTGTCTTTCGGGATAATCGGATAGCCGGAGCATCAGCCGTCAGATTTGTTCGCTCCCTTCTACATGATCCCTTCAGAATCGGCGGAGCAAGTCGCACTTGCGAGGGAGACGGCAACATGCGAAGCGCCTCCGCTGAAATCTTCCTCCTCGGACTCGACCCGGAGCGAGGAACATTGTGCGGGCGCTAGTTCGGATGGTAATGTTTCGGTCCTCGTCGCACGAATGTCAGTCACGCAGCCATCTCCAACATATACCCCCTAGAACGACATATCGACAACCACGTTCACGAGTCGAAACCGCAGCAATGGCGTCTTTCAAGTAGATGCGCCTGACAATTGTCTCCAGGCGGAGCTGTAACCCGGCATCTCAAGCCGATTGTTGCGTAATGCTTGACAGGCCTGATATCTGTTCTGACTCGGCCCACAGGCTATCGTTGAGATTATCTGCTAGGGAATGCTGTTGCTGTACGGCTGAAGCATACAATCAACGGAAACTTTTGAGAATGGTCATTGCAACGTCCGAGGCCGGGCCTGAGGGAAATTTCCGCAACCTTGCCGAGCTAAGGATGCAACCAAAATGCCGTTCTCGCGTGCGCCTCGAGAGGGCGCAGGGTGGCTCGCCCGCAGAATGATGCCTCCAGAAGTACATCTCCCACGTAATGCTGGCTCGCGGCTGGCTCGCAGACGGTCTTGAGTATCGATAATGCGCGATTCAGTTCGCCGATTTGCGCCGATACTGAGGTTACTCATTTGCCTGCGTCAAAAGCTTGTTTCCCCAGACGGAGTTTCAATGCTGAGATGCCGTTGACACATGAAAACCCAACTCAAAGAGGGCCTTGTCAAGCCATGAGGTGTGGTTATCAAGCGGCGCGAATGACCTGAAGTCTAGACCGCAGGGAGTTGGCCGGAGCGTTCCTGAGGCGCGAGTCAGCCACGAGCGTGGTGTTGCTATAGTGAAGCCGGCGAGCCGAAGATACGAAATGGGCGGGGGAGAAATCAGCGACAGGCGATTGACAAAGGAATTGTCGGAGTCGCGCCAGAGAGAGGACGACGAAGGAAGCAAGAAGCGGAAGCCCGTTTTCTCTGCCCAATGATGATGTATCTGATCAAATGCCCTCGCTGAGCAACGAGGGGCAAGACGGCGTGGCACGATTGTGGTCCGAGGATGCGGCGCGGTCAAACAAGATGTTCAGGTTCAGCTCGTGACCGAAGCTAGAGCAATCGTTGACAACAGGAAACGACACGTGATAGCGCCTCGAGGCTCAGCTCCAACCAGCTGCCCTCCTGGCTCTTGGTCAGCACACCCGGACAGAACAGGGGCTGGCCAGGGGCGAGTCACGGATTCAGGCCCACGGCGGTGCCAGATCCAAAAAAGAAGGTTAATAGGCGGCGGCCTCTCTAGCCCCGGATTCGAGTCTTGGCGCGTCAAACAGAACGAACCTGTGGCTGTTTGCCGTTGTTTTGTTGGTTCTGTGGCTACCTCGATCTGATGTCAAGATTCGTTGGGCGTCGGCCGCATTGTCTCTGGTGGTGATGGTGGGAGTCAGTCAGACGGAATGCATGGGCCGCTGCCAGCCGATCGGCAGCAGGAGGCTTAAGGACGACAAGGAAAAGAAAGCCTCCGAACAGTCGGGATCATGGAGGGCACCAAGTCGGACGAAAGAGAGCCCATCGACTGCCAGTGGCGTCGCTGAGTTGAGACGGTGTCCTCAGATGGGAGGAGCTATCTGTCCGTGAGAGGAACGTGTGAGGGAGCGGCGCCAACACCACCAAAATCAGACGATTTGCTAAGAACACCACCACAGCATGAGCCAGCGGCCGCTAACGAAGAGGAGCCTTGGGTGGATCTGTAGGCCTGCGGGCGGCGCACGGCTGGAAGCCTTCGAGAAGCCTGACGGTGTGGGGAAGCCATGTCGTCGACGAATGGTCGTGATGCTATCCAATCTTAGGGCCAGTAGCGGCGTGCGGCGCAAATCCTCAGCACTGTCTCTCGCCTCCCTGCCCGCCTTGTCGGACAGCTGAAGCTCATTGGAAGTGTCGAGGTACTCGCGTCGTCGAGGCAAAAGCCAAAGTGTGAGGCAGAAACCAGTCATGCCATCGACGAACAGCATCGGCGACACCGTTCGAAACAACTTTGCCCAACCAACCACACGAAGCTGTCAAGCTTATCTAGAGTTCCAATCGACGTGGGCAGCGTTCACCTGGTTCATGCAGTATCACCTCATCGCCCTCGTCCCAGGGCTGTCTTCATCGCAAGGTCTCGAATACTGTGACCAGTCATGGGCCAAGCTGGAGGGGCACAGGATAGCAAGAAAAAGAACCTTTCAGCCTGTCAGCGTCAGCATTGGTTATCAAGTGACAGTCACAGAGGACAGAAGCACGAATCGCAGTCACGAAACGCCAAGGTAATGTAGCTTTCCCCCAGTGCGCAAGATAGAGACACGACGCGAGACACGCCAGCACTGACCCCCCCCCCTCCCCTCCCCTCCCTGCTCTCGGAGATTGAGCCCGAACAGGCCATCGCGCAACCCCCCTCTTCGCCTTCCGAACCAGACGCCAATTACGGGGTCGTGAGTCGCAAACGGAAGGAGACAAGGTATCTTGGCTGTGGCAAGACCCCCAGCGATCCATCTGGATGCGCTAGCGAAACGATCGGAGGGGTAAGGGTGAGATGGGCAAATGCTCACCATGGGCCCATCACAGCGACGACAGCGCGGCTCATTTGGCTTTGACGATGCGGCGAAGTCGCTAAGCACCTGCTGTTCTCGAGCTCGCTCGTGTCGCCGCCAACCTCGAATTCCAAGAATCGAAATAGCGCCCCGCGGCGTCGCTGGCGCGCGCTGTACTAGGCATCCAAGGACCACCCTAAGGCAGGATGAGAGGGCATGGCGATACGTGCATGGATGACCCGTCAATTGAAACCTTATTGAAGCACTTACTGTACCTACCTGCCTGTATTCGGCACGATGGCCAACACGAGACGAAAGGGGACCCGGCCGCTTTTCCTGCAGACTGACTCCTACTCCGGTGCAGGCCCTAGAAGCTATTCCTATCGCCGCCCGCCGTGCCGGGCCCGAGGATTGATTCTGGGCCCCAGCGGGCGCGTCGCGGTACTTGAGCAATCTCCTATCCTGGCCAGGCGGCTCGGGCGATGAGCGACGTCGAGAACGCGTCTATCTCACATGCTTCGGGAAGTTTGCGAATGAGCTTCATCGATCCGCGCTCTCCCCGAGACTCCATGCGGTGCCCCGCCAGGGCTGACGAGGTCAGGGGCGGTATGTACTCATCTTTGTGCGTGTGTGTGTGTGTGTACGTGAGTGTGTGTCAACGACAAGAAGCTTTCGATTGTCAGCTGGGCGAGGCTGGGGCCGCCTTGTGCACCACCTTGACCACTCCCCCCCTGCCTACTCGGATGGACAAGTTTCGTCGATCAATCAATGGCCGTGGTTTGTTTTCGAAGGTCACAAGCGGACAATGATCAGAGTGGTCTCGAAGTAGGAGGCACGAATTGACGCCACCACTACCAGGGCGGGAGAGCCCGCGGGTCTGGGG